TGAACCATCCTTTCTGCCCTTTCTAAAGTCCCGGAAGCCCTCCATCTGGTAGGCACTCTAATGGACCTTCACCCAGGGCACACAAACCCAGAAGAGGTTTCCAGGAGCAGAGTTCAACAGTCACATCTTGGAAGCAGCCAACCCTGGGATTCTCTGGGCTCAGTGGGTACACTCAGCCACTAGCACACTCTCGGCATTTGTTTCTCTCTAGAGAGTTCTACATTGACACCCCTCCACTAGGGCTGCCCCAACTTCTATGTTCACAACTCCATGTTCTCCATCCCCACGATAAAGTCAGCCTTCTGGAAGGACACGTCACTGGGCTTTTATTATTTTTTTTCTTCACCTTGTAGCTCTGTGTATTTCCCTCACGACCCTATTGCAATTATAATTATCTGCTTACTTATTACCCATATCTTCCTCAAATTGTTTTACAACTAGGGCCAGCATACGAGAGACACAGAAATATTTGTCTAGAGTGAGCAATTAACTAATTAAACTAATGAACCCATGATGGTGGCGCACTCCCAAGACTCAATAGGAAGTTCTTTATGCCCGGCAGCTCTGGCTTGGGCCTAGCCTGAAATGGTCTACATTTGTCTTCTGACTGTGAAGCGGATGGTTGAGGCATTGCTTACTGTCTAACGTCCCCAACAAGGAGTTAAAAGGATGCCTTAGGCACATGCGTGTTCAGTTTTATTACTTTTGTGTTGCTACAGCAACACAATTTAAAAAACCAGTTAGTTGCATTAGTGCCTACCTGTAAGGCCAACACCAGAGAGGCAGAGACAGGAGGATGACGGCAAGTTCAAGGCTTACTGAGTCTAGTGAGTTCCAGCTCAGTCAGGGCTACCTAGTCAAACCCTGTCTCAAATTAATCTTCTGAGTGGGAAAAGACCTTTGCAAACTATGCATTAGACATGGGATTAATATCTAGGATAAAGAAAGAACTGCAAAAATTAAACATCCAACCCCACCCCAACCATCCAATCAGAAATGGGCCCATGAACTAAACAGACAGCTCTCAAAGGAAGAATCACAAAAGGAAAAAATATTTGAGAAAATGTTCAACATCCTGAGCCACTAAGGAAATTCAAATTAAAGCTGATTTGAGACTCCACTATGATAGTCAGAATGGCTATGGTGGAGAAAACAAAGAATAAACGCTGGCAAGGGCAGTGTTGTTGGGAATGCAATCCATGCAGCCATTGGAAGTACACAGCCAAAGGACTCCCTGTCAGCATCCCACTACTGACCATGACACATCCATGTTAAATTGCTGCACTAGAATAGCTAAGAAATGGAACCAGCACAGATGTCCATCAACAGATACATGAGCAAAGTAAATATGGAATTTTATTTAGCCATAAAGCAAATGAAATCGGGATATTTACAATAAAATAGACAGAGCTGAAGATTATGTTAAATAAAACAAGACAGGCCAGGCACGGTAGTGAACGCCTTTAATCCCAGCACTTGGGAAGCAGAAGCAGGCACATCTCTCTGAGTTTTTGGCCAGCCTGGTCTATGGAGCAGATAGCCAGGGCTGTTACAGAGAAACCCTGTCTTAAAACAACAACAACAACAACAACAAAAAATTTAAAAATTTTAAAAATTAAATAAAACAAAACAATTTCAAGGAATCTATATTTAAACTTGCATAGGTATGTGTGTTTGTGTGTGTGTTATGAAAGCAGAAAGAAGTAATATAATACCTGTTCTAGGAAAGGGAGTCTGTGGTGAGAAGGGAGGGGAACAAGAAAAGAAAGGCATTGCATGGGGGGAGACCATGGAGAGAGGGATGAGTAAGAACAAAGCGTAATGACACAAATGTGTGATAATGCTAATGAAGCCCATGAGAAGCTAATTTTATAAATAATAATTCGGGCTGGAGAGATGGCTCAGGGATTAGAAGCATGGGTGACTTGTCCAGAGGACTGAGGTTAAATTCCCAGCACCCACGTGGCAGTTCACAACTGTCAGTAACTCCTGTTTCAGGGTATCCGACGGTGTTTTGCTTCCGAGGACACTGCACATACATGGTACACAGACACACATACAGGGAGACCCACCATACACAGGAAATAATATGTTTTTAATTAGGAGAGAAAGAAAACCGGAGGCAGTGAGCCCAAGCGTGGGTGGCAGTTGTGGGATATTGTCATGAGGCCACATTTCTTTCTCGTCATTCTGAGAAAAGACGTTATCTCATAGTTCAATGGGGCTAAGGGAACGCCTATAATTGTGTGTAACTTTCAGGAGAGAAGGAAAAGGAAAAATAGGATGTTCCCACCCAAGCCAGCTTCATTAAGAGCCCTCTTCCAGAAGAAGAAAGAAAAGGGGTGCAAGAGAGGGGGGAGGAGCAGATGAAAGGAAGGGAGGGGACAAAAGAAGGCAGGGTGCACTAGTTGCTCAGTTTAAAGATTTTCAAAATGTCACAGTACAGCATCTCTTATCACACGGGGAGGCTCCATCACATTCATGGTATGAATCAGTATTGAACTGAGCGGAAGTTCTTGCTGAGTGATGGAGTCATACGCGATTGCTATCTTCTTGTCTATATTGCATACATTTTCTCTAAGACTTATATAATGCTTGTGTAAATGCATTTGAGATGGGGGCGGGGCATGTATTTACATTTCAAACCAGTACCCAAAGGTTAAATACTATATGATTCTATGACTGGGTGTGCTGACTCCCCTGTATTCTTGGCACTTGGAAAGCTGAGCCAGAAGACTGCCTTGAGTTCAAGGTCAGCCTTGCTTAAAACTGTGGGAGACCCTGTCGCAAAAATCTAAACACACACTCTCTCTCTCTCTCTGTCACACACACACACACACACACACACACACACACACACACAAAACTTCTATGCATATAAGTTACTGCAACAAGTTCATAGAGAAAAGAGAATGGTGGTTGCTATAGGGAGTTATTGTTTAAGGATTAAAAGTTCAGTTCTGCAAGATGAAAAGAGTTCTCGATATAGAAAGCAGCACAATGTAAATGTACTTAATACAACCATACATCTAAAACCGGATACAATAAACTTGGGGGGCTAGATACAGTGGAACGTACCCAGCTACTAGGGAAAACTACTATGCACACCTATTCTACCACATCTTAAAAACTAAATATTTAACTTGCTCACTGGAAGTACAACTGGTTGTGCATGTATATCACAACTGACAAATGACAGCAGTGAAAGAAACCTGGCTTTGATCTTGGACCACACGGGACTGAGCAACAAAATTCATTGTGCCCACCAGTACTGAAGTGTGCACTGGAACGCACGTGTGTCTGGCCATGGCATGTCCTGGATCCCCAGGCTGAGAGATGCTCTCAAGTTTCTATTCCCACAGTGAAGAACGTTCTTCCTCTCTTACCACAGTCTCTCAGATGGACTTTTCCAGAAAGGGAACTGTAGTATATACCCAGATGCAAGGATTCTCTCGGTGTCTGACTACATTGGCTGCAGGGATGAGAGCAGGCGAAATTCATGGCTACCCTTTCATGGGCTAAAGAGTCACCCCCTTTACTCTCCCCCACCACCCAAATCCTTGAGGTATACCTGGTGGAGTCAGATAAAGCACCCTGATATAAAAGTCAAGACCATTCCCCTAACACCAAATGATGAGAGGAGACCTAGACTCGGCAAGCAAAACTCCCTTCTTCCTTCCTCCAGGGGCCCTTAGTATCTTACAGGTAAGAGGGAGGAAACCCTGATTCCAAGGCTGAGTCCCCAAAACCCGAAGGCTGCAGAAACATGGCCCCAAAGCTGATCCTGGCCAGCTGACTTGTTTCTGCTGACATTCCTGCATTTTGACTTTCTGTGGCATTTACAAAATTAGCTGCCAACATTTAAAAGGTGCAGAGTTCATACACAGGGAGAAATATTTTCTGACGCTCTTGTATCAAGGGATAACAACTCCAGCGAGTGTGCTGATTTAACCTGACCATCTACTTGAATAGGTGGAGAAACACCTGGAAGCTGGGAGAGCACGGCTCCTGGTCCCAAATTAGACCTATTCAATGCGCTCTTGATGCAGTCGTAATGTGATGGCCTCACTGGGAAATGGTGAGCAGAGGCTTTCCTAGAAGCAGATTCCTGGGTGTGCACCCTTGCAGGTATCTTGCCCCAGCCCCTTCCTGTATTCACCCTTTCTCTGCTTCCTTCATGCCACGGGCTGAACAGCTCTTCTCTGCTGCATGTTTCTGCCACCACTGTGGCTCAAGTACGCAGAACCACGTGGCCACGAAGGAACCCTCTGAAACTGTGAGCTCAAATAACCCTTTCATTCTTAAGGTTCTTTCTGTTAGGTTTGGTCACAGTGATGATGAAGGCAGCTGGGCAGGCACTCTGGGTTCACAGCAACCCCTGGGCCAGTGACTGGTTGGAATAGAGCAGCAATTTAGCAATTTTAGAATGGGCCTCCCACTCTCTCCCTGCTCTGTTCTGTGCAGCAGCGCTACTCCTTGAGCTGGAGCACCAAAGCTAGGCTGAACGCGGGCTAGCGCAGATAACGTGGTACTTGGAACCACGGCGGCTAGCCCTTCTGCTGTCCCTGCAAACACTGGATGCAGGTCAGTTTGTGATGTGACAATTATGGTCAGTGGCCTTAATGAGACGGCTCTGTGTGAAGACATGCTTTACTGCTAATGTCACCCCAGTCACAATACAGAGCTCCCTTCCCACCATGTATTCCATACAAGTACAACATGTGACCCACTTCCCTTGTGGAAAACTTTAAATAGGAAGCCATGTTCTTGATCAGTGGTCAGAGGTGGGAAAGGAAGGAGCCAGAGGCACACTTAGCACCCCATGGGGCAGCACTTTTCTCCTGGTCCTTCAGTGGAGAACAGAAGGAAGCGCCCAGCCACCTAAACACAGGAGTCCGAGGGGTAATATCTAAGAGGTCCCAGGTAGAGCACAAAAGAGAAGTTTTTCACCGTGTCAGGGTTACGAGGACTGGAGAGATGGAGAGCTGGGCTTTCCTTACCTGCTGTAGGCACACTAATGTTATACTGAGGTAAGATAAATAGGAAGGCAGTCTTGGCTGTGACCTGGAAAACAAAGGAGAAAAGTTTCTATTTACTTTCTTGGCCACATCAAAAGGAACAGGAAGAGGCTGTTCCCTGCCCTGGGGCCCATCCCTTTATGTCAGTCCTCCCACTCCAGGATACAGGGTTTTCACCTACCCCAAAGCACCAGTTTTGATCTACTCTTCCCAGGACCTGCACTAAAGAGCAAAGCAATCTGGGCCCCAAATGATGGTTACACTGTGTTGACTGCAGACAGAATGTAGCGAGCTGTGTCGACCATGGGCAGCACAAACCATTCTGCCATTCACCTGTTCATGTATTGATTTAGTTCTGGACTCCCAGCTCTGTGGACAGTCACAGTTTTTAAAGGCCCTGAAGCTGACTTCCCAGACATTTCAGTTGTCTGCACCCTGGACAGCAGCCCTGAAGTTTCTGAAACAGTAGATTCCAGCTGCTAATTTCACACCTACCCTTCTACTGACCAGGGAACGGACCTCTGAAACCCCACCATACTGGTTTGGTTTTTATGAAAGCTATCTTTAGATGGCTGTGGTCCCAATCTGGTTTCTAGTAGTCAAATCAGTACTGGGGCCGTTTACAGCAGGGTGAGATGACCAAATGTGGGGGCTTGAAGCTGAGATGCAGGAATTGACTGCCCATGTTCAAATGCTGACTCTGCTGGTTACGTAACCACGAGGAAGTCATCCCACACCCTGAGCCAAATCCCTTGTCTATACAACCATGGCTATGTGCAGTTCCTCAGCTGCATACTACAGACTGGAGTGGCGACCATCTCGATTGCATTGTTTCAAACTCCACAGATGCACAGTCAGGACCAAGAAACACTCTGAGAGACACGCAGGAGGACAGGGGAAGAGAAGCCACTTCCCCAGAGGCTCTGAAGTTATGGGTTCTCCTCCAACGTGGAGGGCAGACAGTTGTATGCAGGAAGTGGGGATGTACCAGGTTACACCCAAATCAGTGTGGAGACAAGTGAAAGATGGCTGCTTGGACATGCCAGGGACAGATGACTGCCCTTAGCCTATTCTGCGGGGCCAATCGTCTCCTTTAAGGAGACAAGGACTTGCTGTTACTCTATAGTTAGGTATTATTTACTTCTTATAGGTAGCTATGTACAAAGTCTTCATCCATCTGTGTTCATGCCTATGCGTGCTCTATCAAGTTGGTAGGGAAAGAACGAATAAAATTAGGGATTGATTTTTGGTCCTTATGACCTTGCTCTACATTCCTGACCTCCATCCAGTTCAACTGCCTGCTTTTTCCTTACAATAATAAGCTTGGCTCAAGCCCAAAGACTCTACTCATACATCCCCCTTCCTCTGCTACTCCCCACAACTTGTCAATATCTTTCTCTCTCATCCATCACGCTGCCCCTCAACTGTGAACACTCTGCAAGGCCTTTGGCTACTCCAAGAGAAGGTCACTCTTTCCCAGGCAGAAGTTCCATACTTCTGTCTAAATGTGCTATCATTTCCACACAGAGGGACATCGCAGCCTAGAAGGCAGGGAATCCCATCACCTCAGTTTTTATTGCATGCCCTCCCAAATAGCTTAACCCAGACGAGGTGAGTGCTCAGGTACTGGTGTGGGAGGTCCTTCTGTATATGTGCTGCTTCTATTGGTTAATGAATAAAGCTGCTTTGGCCTATGACAGGGCAGAATAGAGCAAGGCAAACATTCCAAGCAGACACAGGAGAAAAGAAGGCAGAGTCAAGGAGCTGCCATGTAGCCACCGAAGGAGATAAGACAGATAGAATCTTACCAGTAGGCCACGGACATGTGGCAAATACACAGATTAATAAAATAAAAGGGGGGTTAATTTAAGATGTAAGAGTTGCTTAATAACTAGCCTAAGCTACTGGCCAACAGTGTTATAATTAATATAGTTTCTGTGTAATTATTTCAGGTGTGTGTGTGGCTTGGAAATGAATGAGCAGCCTCCAAGGTACTGATCACTGAATCAGAATTTAATGAAATGGAGTCTCTAGTAGGAGCAGCCCTCTGCCACTAATGGCCTTTGCCTTGGGACCTATCTACTCTGAGTCCATCAGCCTCCTGAGTGGGGCTGGCGAGTATTCTGGTCAGTGCCCCAAGCCTTCTGCTGTGGTTTCTGTTGTCCTGTCCCTGGAGCAGCTGTGTGCCTTCAGGGACGTGAGCCCCCAGAGGGCCTCTTTAAGTTGGTCAGCATCCATTTCTCAGAAGCACTATGATTCTATGTGTGGAACACCACTGTTCAACCATGCCTGTGACGGAGTCCCCAAAAGAACTTGAAATTTTTCTATATCCAGGCCATCCCCCCAGGCAACTAAACTAGACCCTCACAGTGGCTGGCTCATCAGCTTCTTGTCCAGCTCGCAAAGCATTCTAGCCTGCAGCCAACTCTGAGAGTCATTACACTGAAAACAAACAAACAAGACAAATAAATAAAGCCAGGGAAGCAGGTATTTGGTATGTGAATTATATACATTTTTGCTCAAGCCCTGCAAATGCAGTCAGTTCTCATTTATGGCAATTCTATGAAACTGCTGCAAACACGGAAACACCGCGTCCAAGAGAAATACAGAACTGGGTTGCTACAAACCAGTCACATGTGACTGAGAGACCAACGTTTAACCTTGCTTTATGCACGTTTCTAAAGGACACCCTAGTTAATACATATTTAATACACACTGTTGGTTCATTAACATTGAACTCACGGTCAACAGCCCTGGAGCTCATGCCCAAACGAGGCAACTGAAGCCATGCTGTTTCTCCCTAATTTAGCACATTGTCTCCTTCTTAAGATTAGGACCGTAGGTAGCACTTCAGGAAAATACTTAGGGGTCATCGAAATCCCATCAACATCACAAAATGCAAAACTATGGCCTCAAATAGACTGCAACGGGGATGATTTGTTTATGGTGCGAGAACTGAAACAGGAAGTCAGGCAGAGCCTTGTTTCACCTCAGCTGGCACCAAGGTTTGCACCTGCGTACGCTGTGGAGAGCCAAGTGTGAATTTGGAGGTTACAGGTAAATTTTAGTAAAGTGAGCAGACTGCCAAAGATGAAATCCACAATCGGCGATGGATGGACAAACCTCTTAGCGCCAAGATTTGTTTGTTTGTTTGGTGTGTGTGTGTGCGCGCGCGCGCGCGTGTGCACAGGCAAGTTCATGCTCGGGGACATATGCGGAGGTCGGAGGACAGCTTTTCAGGACTTGGGTCTTCAGCCTATTTATAACATAGTCTCTCTTGTTTCTGCTGTTACTGCATATGTACACACACAGCTGATTCTCCTGTCTCCTCCTCTATCGCCCTATGAGAGTGCGGGGGTTATGGCTGGGAGCCACCAAATCTATAGCCTCTATACTATGGGTTGCACTGCTCAAACTCGGGTCATCAGGCATGGACATCAGGCATTACACCTGCTGGCGTCTCACTGGCCATCAAGAGCTTTTGAAACAGCCCCCTGGGAGAGGCTAACATCACCAGGTTTAAGTTCTAGAAGAAAACCTCGAAAACCTTCAATATACAATGGCAAGAGAACAGAGCTGACTGGGTGAGACACGCTCGCCACATGATGCTCACACACGGACACAGCCACCCTGCAGGAGAGCTGTCTGATCTGCAGCCTGTGACCTGCTCACGGTTATACTCCTGTACGACTGTTTTCTCTCACTGCGTCCACCCAGAGCTACCCACGCAGAGGGTCTCCCACAAATGCCCACTTGATGAACTCACATTGTAAGCAACTGTAGTATTCAGCGGCCCCAGATGAATGTCTACCACAGGCTTTCTGAATGTAAGTCCGAGAGAACAGAGTCAAGGCAAAACATACTAGATCCCAGTACTTTTCCGTACCTGCCCTCGGGGTGGTGGCAGGAGAAACAAATTCTAAACCATCCTTATTCCCATGTTAGTGTATCCTAAATGCCAGTTTTCTTGTTTCATAGGACACAGAGAGACCAAGCAACCTCTGCCACCCAGTAAGCACTCGAGTACAACAGGCAACCATCATCTTGGGATTTTATAAGTTTGTTCCAGAAACAACTTTAGCAGACACACAACAAAGCCCTTAACAGAAACCTAACAAAAACTAGAACGCTAAAACCAAACCAAAGAAATCACATGCCGGAAGCCTAAAAAGAAAGACTAGAGAATGAGGCTGAGCCACAGGCGCGCAGCCCAAGAAGCCCTACACATCATCTCAAGTTTGCAGGAAATCTGGAGTCTAAACTCCGTCTTGATCATCTGAAAGGAAAATAAGATCAGCTACTAAGTCCGCCACATCCATTAAAGGAAGGGAGCAGGGGAGAGGGCAAACAGGGGGGAGGGGGAGAAGGAAGCAGTGGCAGCGTGAGCTACAAAGGGTAACCCTACTTGTCCCTCATAAAAACCATTCTATGTGCTTTCAAAAGCCCCCTGGCACCCCAAATCTTCATTCCATCACTCTCCCCTGGCCTGAGGTCAGGGACTGTGCAATGTGGGTTCACACAGCACAGAGGGTGAGAAATGGGGGCCTACTAAAAATGTCACTCCAATTATTTCTCATCCCTCTAGGGCTGTTTATAGGAAACAATATTGAGTTTAATAGCATATTAAATGCCAAGCTCTGTGGGTGAAAGGTTAAAAGTGACAACATGTTAATATACTAATGCAAAGGGAGGGTACTAAATTACATAGGAGGGGCTCTCCCCCCATACACACACACACACACACACACACACACAGAGAGAGAGAGAGAGAGAGAGAGAGAGAGAGAGAGAGAGAGAGAGAGAACGCTCCATTACAGCTTTAACTACAACATGGTGTAAAACACAAAATCAGAGATGTTGAGTGCACTCACCCAGCCATACCAAAACCAGAACCATCCCACCACATCCACTTTCTATTAGAGGCTCATGTAACCTAATGTTACAAAGACACTAAGAATGCCAGCGAAATTGCTGTTTCCGTGAAGCAATCAGGATGCAGAGTCCATTCCGAGGCAAGCTGTGGACCAATGAATTACCCTTGGGTAA